AACAACAACAACAACAACAACAACAACAACAACAGCAACAACAACAACAACAACAACAACAACAACAACAACAACGAGTAGGAGGAGGGGGAGGAGAAGAAGGAGAAGAAGAAGAAGAAGAAGAAGAGGAAGAAGAAAAAGAAAAAGAAGAAGGAGGAGGAAGAGGACTTACTGGTGAGAGTGGTGAAACAGGTGAAGGTTTGTAGATGTCTCTTGCTCTAGCAGATTCGACAGAGATTTGCCGAGGGTCATCAGCTTCAGCGAGACCCCATCTCTTCTCTCAAATGATATCTGAAAGTAAAGATTGACCAAGTGCTTATCATTACAAGCAAAATCCTAGTTCTGCATACTGGACAATATCTAATTAGCATTGAAGAGATTGCATACTGTATGAAAATATCTTTCTCTTTACTGCATTACATTCATGAAATAATTTCTAGTTCTCTGTGTGTCTATCTTTCTGATTTACTTTCCCAGTCAGCCTCTGTGCATCTATCTTTTCTCTTCTCTCTGTTTCAGTCTACTCTCTCAATACTTGTGAGGAATTGATCCCTGGTCTCCTGATATGATATTATCATCAATTTTCGAGTTCCAAAAAAAGAAATCTTAGGACAACATACCTGAGTGACAACCATTTCCTTCATCGGGGCATCAGAGTACTCCGACTTAGGCACATCTCCACTGTAGAGCATCAGGCAAGACGCCAGACCAAACAGCCGCTCACACACCAGCCGCAAGCAACTCTCACCAAAGAAAAAATTACGATCTCTCTTGGGAGCTACGGGCAAGTACTGAGAGAGCTTTGGGATGACTGTCGCCACCAGCCTGGCATCAGCTTCCTGAAAGAATAGAATCATCATCATCATAAAAGATTGCATATCATCATCACTAAAGAAGATTGCAGATCATCATCATCATCATCATAAAGCTCCAGATCTAGAACAGATATCGGCGATCATGGTTCTCCATTTATTTCTCTGCTAGGGCTCTCAAAAAAAAAAACACATTATCCAGGCGTTTCCCTGTCACCATTCAGGTTTAAACATAAAAATTAAATTGTCGTAAAAGTTGTAAATCATCCATAATCCAGTGGTAACCATCATCGACATTTGCGTAGGTTTGTCGATATTGTTGTGCTGTAGTGTGCTGTGTTGTCTTGATGACTGACTGTCTGTGAATACAGTCTACCATGCCTGTAGCGAAATATGCACATAGCAATCCCAGTGTGTGACACTCATGTCTTACTCAGATTCAGACAGAGAGAGATTGTAACGTAAAGGAAGATGAAAATAACAGATGAAAGAATTTACCATATCTGTGCAGAACACAGGAACAACACGTGAATGAATTTACCGTATTTGTCTAGAACACAGATATGAAACGTGAAAGAATTTACCGTATCTGAACAGAGCTCAGGAACTGTGAAGGCCACCTGCTTGATCGAGTTCGCAGACAGTCTCTCATGCCAAGACAAGAGTTCCCAGGTCTGTTGGAAAAGAAATGAACCAGTCATTGTGTTGCTGCGTGGTGGAATCAGACGCTCATCAAAATAATCAAATTATAGAAACTAACATTTTCCTGCCTGTTGGATAATGTCTATTGATTTATTGGGGGGAAAGGGGGGGGGGATGTCACGCAAACAGAAACATTTAAAAAACCTGATGACAACTCAACTCCAGAGCAAAGTGGAGGCGAAGAGAAATAATAAAGGAAGACCATCCACATCATACATTTTTGAACATATAAACTTTGACAGTGGTCTACAACTTCATGAACTATTACATCAAAGTACAAAACAGAGACCACTGAAAGATGGAGGCCGGTTGTGGCAAGGAGTGGGGCACTGGCGGAGGAACACAGCCAAGACGACAGGCGAGTCTCAGAGAATTAATTGATACAACCTGCAGTGCCACTCACAGCGGCTGACTATCTCCTGTTTTTGCCTCAGATCTGCTCAGAGCGGCTCTTATCTGTTGTTTCCTTTTTTCACATCACTCTCCTTTCTTCTTTTTTCCTTACCACTTACATTGAAACCCTTTTTTTCTGGTTCCATTGAATAGTATTTTTTTTATTCTGAACATTTCTACATGCCACACATAGAGTGTTATCATGTTTTTGTCAGACCACCCATGAAGTCACGACGCGGTCACAAATTTTGCGTCCAGAGTCAAAATTATCTACAGGTTGAATATGTTAAAGGCAAGCAAATAAAAAGAGATCTCACAGATATCCCAGTGTCACCAATTAGAAACAGCCCCCTTGTTTGGCTTACCTTTATTAATTGATAGGAATGATGACACACAAATAGTTACAGAATCCGGTCTCTCTTTGCGAGGAGAGTGGGAAAGGGGGACGTTACTAGAATATGCAACAAAAACTTAGGAAAAAAAAAAAATTAATTAGATAATAAAGCACTAACAATTATATCTTAACATTGTTAGTCATATTCTCTTATTGTTCCATCTTAGTGTTGAAATATTGTACCTACTGATTCACATTGTCTTAGTCTATGATTGTCTGATACAAATAAAATCACTAGCATAGCACCCAAAAAAAACCCGGATAAAAAACATTTTTTAAAAAATGATCTCACAGATATCGGGCCATGGTAATCTTGTTGGGCGTAAGTCTTTTCCTCCAGCGGCAGGTCACAGCGTGGGGAAACCAACGAGCCGTAGTTCCTGAACGTCATCACAGAAGGGTAGCCCTGGACCTTGAGATCGGAGCAAAGGATCGCGTCCCGTGAACAGTTCACCAAGTACAAACGACTGCTGTCTGAAAAGCGCAACAACATGATTAATCATAGAGCAGTTGAGGCAATATTTGCCTGTCCCCGGCCACTTCCTCTAACCTTGTCACATCCCGCCCATTTGTGATTGGCTCATCCTTTTGCTCCCAGTTGGTCTACCTTTTCTTCTCTTTCAATTTGGTCTACGGTACCATATCTGATGGGAAAATCTCGTCTGTGACACTTTCTAAACATGCCCCAAATATCTCCATCTTCTCGTTCTTATGGTTTCATTGATATCTTCAATCCCAGCTCTTTCCAACAGCTTCATTATTTGTTACAATTTCATTCCATTTTATTTACAAAATTTTTCACAGACATTTTGTTTTAAAGTTTTCAAAAATATTCATTAAATTACATTGTTTGGTTTCCATATCTCTGACCCATTCATCAGTACTGACAAAACATTGAGGTATATCATATATTTTTATTTAAGGTCTTCAATGAGATGATACAAAAACTATTCATTGATTTCTAAATGTTTGATAGATGTCGTCAACGCAGTCAGTAGTTTTGGAGATAATGCTACTAAGGTACTTGAATTTATCAAATTCTGCCAAAAATGTGTCATAAAGTAGTACGATGAGAGTAGTTTCTGGTGACAAGCACAACTCTTCTGTGTTGAAGATAACTTTTCTTTTCAATTTTTTTCCACAAATCTGTCTATTGTATATGACATTTAGCTATGTGAGATAAGGCTGTCAGATGCCAGATATCAACTTTTGTCCATTTGTTCCGTTTCGTCTGAGTAAAAAGAAGCTCATTGACTTGATCTCTCCCTTGTAGGGAAAGGAAAAAGAATATCAACATATATATGTATGTTTGTTTTTAGATGTGTGTGTGTAAGTGATCAGAGTCAAGGTTGTGACTGTAAGTCTTTGCTATTATGAAAGAAATATTTCTCTTTTATTTTACTTTGAAAAGTACATTATTATGCGTCATACATTTACCAATGTCTAACATTTCATAATTGTTGAAATAAGGTGGCAAGTGAGACAGAACCCATAGGACAACATATCAAAGGTAAAACTTACCCGTCTTTTTCAGCTCAGTGTGTAATTCTTTGAACACATTCATCTTTTGTTGACAAGAGCCACAATAATCTCTGATAAAAACAACCTGAAAAATGCAATCAAAAGAGAATTATGTATCATTGGGAAGCCATTAAATGTTTTAAGGCCAGAAAACAAAACTGGGGGCTCTCGTGGCCTACAGGTTAAGGTGTTCGTCTCTCATTCAATAGGAACCCGGTTCGAATCCGGGTAGTGACGGAAACATTTTCTTCTCTAAAAATGTCTCCGTTTACCTCCTTTCCTGCTCTCTAGCAATGTTCTGTCGTCTGCTTTCATCTCCAGTTTTCTGCCCCCATCCCCTCACCTCCTTTGCACCCTCCTCTAGGCTCCTGACTCTTTCTACTGCCTTTCTACTGCTACTCCTTGGCTCCTTCTTACTGATGTCTCTCAGCCACACCCCTGATTTCTGGTAGGAAAGATCTACACCTAGCCTTCTCAGACAAGGGTGAAAAATCTTGGTGGTCCCGTGTGCAAGTTGTGCACATTAAAGATACCTTCGTGGTCTAAAATCGATAAGAGTAGGCTTCGGCCGCCACCAGGGCAAAATTCAAAATTTCCAACTAACTGAAAATGTTTAATGTGTCCCGCGCGCTCATATGACCTTATGCAGTTGTAAGCGCCATAAAGCACTTACAAAAAAAAAAAGAAAAAAAAGAAAAATTTTACACGAGAGAGGAAAAGTTGTTTTATAATGTTAACAACTGTACCTACAATATGCATTTTTTCTTGCTTTTTCAACGTATATAATTTTCAATTTGACGAAACATTTCTTGAGCATAAGCGACTGATACCACAGATTAAGAAACTAAAATAAAAAACAAATTTTCAAAATTTTGGGCTTAGTACATTTTAACAGCCGGCAGACAATTTGATCTTTTGCATGTTGATGGATGATCTTAACTCTTTATCCCTGGCAAGCCACTCCCAGCTGCTCGCGGTCGGAACAACTGTGCCGGTGAGCCACTGATAGCGGCTCGGGAAATTCCTTTTCGACGACTTCGACGTTAAATAACTTTTTTGGCAATTGCTAAAAACGGGTCTCTTTTTTCGCCATTTCATTCCTTAGATGAAGAACTATCAAACTAAGTTCACTTGTTTCGATTTAATGACAATGTAGAGATAATTTTTGTCATTTTTAGATTTAGTACCAAAAAAGGGCCCGGCACAGTGGGTTTACCCCCCTCGGAGATGAAGAGTTAAAGCAGCATACATGATACAGCTTTACCTGGACAGTGGAACCTGTTCTAACAGCCACCTACCTGTATAAGACAGTCACCGGTATAAATGGCCACTTCCCATTTCCCCACTTGTGGAGGGGTTTTTTTACATTATAATGACACTGTATAAGATATCTACCAAAGACGGCCACCTTTCTCCTCTATCATGGGTGGTGGCCGTCTGAGACAATTTCGATGGTACTACGGTATTATCGTAAAGCTCATTAAACAAAAGACCAACTCACCAGCGTGATCCTTACAGCCGGTTGCCCAAGACGTGAGCTCATGGCCACATCAGACTTCTCCATCACAGCATCCCATAAGTCTCTGCTCATGACTGGGATGCCATTTATCTTTTCCATCAGGTCCAGCACACTTTTCTGAAATAATAATAATGATAATAATATTATAATAATGATAATAATAATTATAATACTAATAATAATGATAATAGTAATAATAATGATAATAGTAATAATAATAATTATAACTGCATTTATACAGTACATATCCACACTCTAAAGCAAGCTCTATATGTGCTTTATAACTATTATTACCCCAGCAGGCCCTTGAACATTCAGAAACATTCTTCGCTTCCCAAGAAGACTACAGTGCAAGCAGCTGATTAAGCCTTTAAACACTGACAAACTGACAACACTTTGTATTGCCAGGCACTCATTCCCATCTGGGTGAAGTGAGGAAAATTCATGTAAAGTGTCTTTCCCAATAATAAAACAAACATACAGTGGAGTAGATTAAGAACGACTGATCAAAGAGAAGGGGGGAAAAAATCAGTGATTTTACTTCTTTTGGTTCACCACTGTTTTTGGATTATTCATGTTCGCTGCAAGCAGTGTCCACTGTACATTGATAACCATAGGAAAATGTTTATCAAAATGGCAATACCTGTATGAAATAACCCACACTACCCAGCGCGCACTGCCAATCCGATTCGTTTGACTGAGTCAGAGCCAGCCAGATTTTCCTTCACAGGGGTTGCAAAAGGTACTATTTGGTACCAAGTAACCGATTTGACTTACGACCTTGAAAACAAACATGTTTGATTTCATAGGTCAGTCAAATTTAGTTGAACTCAGTGATATAGTGCCAAAATGGTAACTTTTGTCACATCCATGAAAGAAAATCTGGCTAGCCCCATTTCACTCAAATGAGTCCCATAAGCAGTGAACAGTGGCTACTAACATCCCATACTGCACCATTTCACACTATATAGAAAACAGGCGCTCCTCAAAATAATGAATTCAAAGAAACCCACATTTTTCTGCAAATGGGACAATTTTTATCAATTTCCTTTTAACTCTACGACTCTAGAGACACACTTTTGAGTGGATATACTGAAAAACGTTGGTAAAAGGTACAAAAGATGTAAATTTGCAGTTTCTAAGGACACTCAAGCTTTGGAAGTCACCAACATTGGTGGACATTTTAGCTCTGATATCAGGCAGTCCTCACATCCTTCTATCACAAATATCTCGACTTTTATTCAAGATAGAAGAGCATTTTTTTAAACAAAAGCGATAAAAATGAAAAAAACTGAAGGATGGTACCAATCCACATGCCCAAAATTGACAAGCCCCTGATTCTACCACATCGTAACACAATTTTTATAGGCTTGAGGGGTGGGGGAGAGGGGGGGGCTCAACACCTTTCATGTCCATTAAAAAAAAATATCCATCTAGCTTATGATTAAGCACCCTTCAAAAATGTAAATTTACATTTTTTGAGCCTTTGATCAACCCATTTCATTTTCAGTAAAATCCACACAAAAACGTGACACAGATGTACCTTTCTGGACTTGAGTTTGAAAGACCTGGAGACTTTCTTGGGCGGTCGATGAGAGTCAGTCTGGTTGCTCGCCCAAGACGTACAGATACTTCCCCATGGGCCTTCACGCAAGTCACAGAACTGGAAATCATTTCCTTTTTTTGAGTACAGCGTGTGTGTGTGTGTGGGTGTGTGTGTGTGTGTGTGTGTGTGTGTGTGTGGGTGTGTGTGCATTTGTGTGGTTGTATGTGTGTGTGTATGTGCAAGTGTGTATGGGGGGGGGGAGTGTTGTCCAACAAGTCACAGTACTGGAAATCATTTTCTTTTTTAAACACAGAGAAGAAGAAATCGGCAGAGATTATATGTTATATCATGACAAGTATAAACATGACGTATACATAACAAGTCTACACACAGTAGGTTCGTTATTTTGAGTTTACGCACATCCATATTTTGATAGGTGTGATCTTTTGCTACGATGTTGCTTATGCTATTTCATAAACAAACAAAAAAACACTTAAATCACCCCTTTCATCTTTCTCTCTCTGTATCCCTTTCACTCTTTATCTCTTTCTCTCTGTATCTGTATTATATCTCATTCTCTCTATCTTTTTCTCTCTGCATCTTTATCTCTTTCTCTCTGTATTTCTTTCTCTCTTTCTCTTTGTATCTGCATCTCTTTCTCTCTGTATGTCTTTCTCTCTGTCTCAGTTTCTTTCACTCTCTCCGCGGGTCTTTTCTTTCAAACAGAAAACTACCTGCGTATAATCCAGACTGCGATATGGTGAAAACTCCACCTTGTTACCCCATGGATCTTCCATCAGTATATTTGCAGACTTCAAAGCTTTATAAAGATAGAATGCGCTCGGTCTGTCTGTATCCAGCAGGGTTTGCTTCACTGAATCTTTGCCTTTTTCTGGGTGAGAAGGAAATATAGAGTTCACTTTATGTGATGGGAACTCGTAATCATATATTGTTGGCAAGCTTTTTAATTGTTCTAAGCCCAGAAAGCAAAATTTTTCAGGAGAAAGAAAAGAATCTGCTTCATTCTTCTAAAATTAGTCTCTATATTATGTATCCTTTCTTTGCTTTTATTCAACATTTAGAATTTGAATTTCGACAAAACATTTTTGAAGCACATGCAACCAATGCCACAGATGAAGAAACTGCAAATTAAAAATTTTTTAAGTTTTGGGCTTAATGCTTCTTAACAGCTGGTTGACAATATACTCAATGTGTGGAAAATTCCCTGTCAGAAAAAATATCCAAATTGAACAGTTTTGTATAGCATAAACTAGAGACCACATTATGTACTGAATCAGTGTCAGCTTTTGACTATCAAGAGAAATAACAACAACAACAAAAAGTATCATTTCTTACGTGAAATGCTTGTTCTTAGATTGACTAAAATATACAGCTGTGTGTGTGTGAGTGTTTGTGTGTGTGTATGTGTGTGTGTGCGTGTGTGTGTGTGTGTGTGTGTGTGTGTGTGTGTGTGTGTGTGTGTGTGTGCATTCAGGTGTATGAGCATTCATAGGCATGAGAGTACAAAAGGAAATCAATTCCCTTAGAAGAAATGTACACAGTTGGATAAAAGTGTCCAATTTTGTTTATATCATTTGATAAAAATGCTAGAAAGAGTTGATACCTTACATTTAGCACAATAAAGCTTGTCTTTTTTAAAATATTTTTTATGTAGGTGTTTTTACACCCATATCAACACAATTTTGATCTTTTAAGGGGTAGACTTCCGACACCCTGCCGACTATAGCCAACCCGAGCTGAGAGGGATGCAAGACCCCAGAAAAAGAAAGAACGAGATACTCAATAAAAAAATTTTCCCCATACGGGTATTGAGCACAGGTCTCCTGCATGTGACAGCAAAACGCCTAAGCGCTACACCACAGACGCTGATATAGAAAGCAAATAATGCATCAAAGGCAACATACATACAGCATTACCAACCTTTTTGAAAAGCCACCACAAAAGGTAATGACTTAAAATCTTTTATGTTGATATATCTGGAAATGACTGAAACAAATAAAATACAGTTGTAAGTTCATGCTGTGAGAAATAGTTTACAGTAAGAGTTTATTATAACAAAATATGTGAGGCAGCGTGGTGGAATCAGGCGCTCGTCAATTTTTGGGCATGTAGAGTTATTGGTACCGTCTTAAAGCTTGTTCACATGTCTTTATTTGGATGCTAAAAGTATCAATTTATCTTGAATACAAGTCGAGATATTTGCAAAAGAAGGAGGTGGGGGTCACCGGTTTTCAGAGGTAAAATTAGTGAGAAAATGGCCGCCAAAGATTAGTTATTTCCTTAGCATAAGAGTCCGTGGTAACTGAAATATTACATTTTTGTGCCTTTAATCAACGCTTTTCAGAAAAATCCAAACAGAAATGAGTTCTTTAATGGGCATGAAAGGTGTTGAGCCAAAAAACGAAAATTTGATAAAAATTCACAAACCTGCGGAAAAATGCAGGTTTTTTCACTTTGATTATTTTGACGAGAGCCTGATTCCACCACGCTGCCTCACATATGTTAATAAGTCTGATCGTATTGACCCCAGGGGAAAGAAGTACTTATCAGTTCTTCTGTGTCTGAATGTATGTAATCTGCATTGTGGCATTGTAATCAGCCACAGTAAAGCTTTTAGCAATTTTATGTACAGTTATATATGTACATTTCATCTGTACTTCTTTTTATCTTCCTCCCCCACTCTTCTACCTTTTTGTCCTCCCCCTCTTCCTCCTACTTCTAATCCCTCCCCTTCTTTTCTCCTTCTACTCTTCCTCCCCCTTTTCTTCATTTATCCCTTCTTTATCAGTTCAGGGATCAATAGTATATGGTGGCATTTAAATTGTCCACAGTCCAGTTTCAAACAATTGTACATCATCTGTTCTTCTTCTCCTCTTCCTCCCCCCAATATTCTAATATTTTTGTCGTCCTCCTTCTTCAATCTTCTCACCCACACTCCCATCCCCATTTTTTACTCCTCTTCCTCCTTCTTTACTTCAATACATCCCTTATCTATCAGCTCAGGTAGAAAAAAAGTCACAAAACATTCAGCGTCCATCCCTCACACTTACTTGTTTTCTCCTCTGAGACATTCACCAAAGCAAATTTGACCATCATAGAAAGAGATCTGAACTCATCCACAGCTCTTCGGAACAGAGTGAGGAAATCCTTGGTCCCTGCCGCCCACCATGAGTAAAATAAAACTATGTGAGGGCGAAATCTTTCTGTCTTTTTCACCGTAAGAGTTTCTGAAGCAAAATTGTTCTGTGGGAAGAAACATTAAAAGATAATATTTGTCACCAAAAAAATATATGTACAGTTAAGGAAACATTATAAACTATTTGTTTGGAAAAAATGTAAACACAGTTGAGGAAATATTAAAAACAATGACAGCTTGTCTGGGAAAAATATACAATTTGGTTTTCTTTTCCTCTTTCTGTCTAAGAAGAAACTAGAAATTCCTGTGTTATATGTAATGACGAGCTGCCACACACACTCAAATAAGTGGAATGTTCCCTGCCTGAATATCAAGTACAGATTTCAAACATTATAAACGTGGGTGGTTGGCGGGTGATCTGGTGTGGTTTGCTTCTTCTTTCCTATCAAACATCTATCGTCCTTATCTCCCCTTCTTCTTTTTATTTTTGTTTCTCTCTTGTAACATCTCTAATCTTCTGGTGCTTGTATGACCTTATGCAGTTGCGAGCGCCATAAAACCTCTACTAAAACTAAAATACATTATATACTACAGAACTCATATACTGAAACAGAGGAAAGTTGTCAGTAGAAAATGTGATTTATTTGTGATGCATTCTTTTAGATGCATATCATTAGCTCATTTGCTATGTTGCTGGGCTATGATGCACGTGACCTGGTTCAAATCCCCAATTAAACACAAATGCAGAGCTTACATAAGCAGTAGAAGTAGACATTTCCATTCAGTCATAGGTGTTAACTAGCTAAAAAAAAACTGAACTTTTTGGATCCCATGGAAACGCACACAGGGACTCAAGATTTTAAGATTTACAGATTATATTGACTAACACAACTTGTTTCAAGACTTCCAGACAATTGGCCCGAGTCTGGGTAGCATCCAGACAATTTCAATAATCCGGATTTCTGGAATTATCCGGAATATTGCCACCTCTGTCCAGTACATTTACTGACCTGAGAGAGATGCTTCCCTGCTACAAGTCTGGACAGTACAAAGCTCTCAATCTTTCTTTTATCCATATCCGATTCTTTAAAAACTTTAACCGCTGGTTCCACTTGGTTTTCTGCAACAACAAAAAAATGAACAGGACTCTGAAATAAAACAATAATAGTAATAATAAAGCATATCATTTCTATAGTACCCACTCATGTACAATACAGCTTAGACATTTTACAATACCTTCAATTTTAATTTACACAAAATACATGTGCATGAACGTGCATATATACGCTCTTTAGATTAACGCTCACACAAAAACCGACATTCCTATTGTCACAGCAAAATCAATGACGATATACACATCCCATTGTGAACATCAGAGTGCTAGGAATAGGAAGGACTAACTTATCAACCTTTCTTCCTCCTTGGATGTTAAAGAACACCATCAGTTCCTAATGGATGAACTATTATTTTAAAGTCAGACACTGCTTGCTATTGGTTCAAACAAGCTAAAGTAAGTTTATTCAGTGTTTAAGGCCATTGGCCCACATCACATCACATATAACATTTATTTGATAAGTAACGTTTCCATAATGAATAAGTACAGGTGGTGCACATATTTCTTATTATGGATAAAAAATTGCATATTTCTGTCACTGGGCCGAGTCAGGCTGGGAGGGATGGACAATTTCCTTGCTATTGGTTAATTACACATTGACATTTTCATTCACTTCCGGTCAATTTCACACTTTAGCTGATACTATCATTGGACAATTGTGAGGCAGCGTAGTGAAATCAGGCGCTCGTCAAAATAATGAAAGTCAAGAAATTATCATTTTCCCGCAGGTTTGGGTATTTCTATCGAATTTTTGTTTTTTGGTTCAACGCCTTTCATGCCCATTAAAGAGCACATTTCTGTGTGGATTTTATCGAAAAACGTTGATTAAAGGCAGAAAAAATGTAAACTTTCAAATTTTATGGGCTCTCAAGCTAAAGAAATAACTCAACTTTGGAGGCCATTTTCTCACTAATTTTACCTGTGAAACCAAATGACCCTCACCTCCTTCAATCACACATATCTCGACTTCTGTTCAACACAGATGGATATTATTTTCACCCAAAACAAGGAAAATGGATAGGTCTTAAGAGGACACCATCAACTCCGTTTGCCCAAAAATTGACGAGAGCCTAATTCCACCGCATCGTGCCACAATTTCATCTACCTAAACAGTGACATCTGGTTAACTTCACATTCACACAGTGACACTTACTCTGTTTGACAACTGAAACTACAGCAGATTTTGTCATTGTCACGTTGAAGTACTGATAAATAGATCTGAGGAATTTCGTTCAAACAATAAGAATGAGAATAATAATAAAAATGAGAATTATAAATAATAATCATAATAATGGTAATAATAATAATT